GCCTGGGCCGGGGCCCCAGGGGAGGGGCCGAGATGGACCCCGGTCGACCCGCAGCCCACACGGGAGAGGGCTGAGTGTGGGCACGGATGCGCCTCTGGGGACGAGCGCGTCTACAGACCGGGAGACGGGTGTGCAAACCCGGATGTGGGCTGCCCCCGGGAGGGAGCCCCTCACCCTCGCCCCTTCCAGGGAGACGGGGGCAGGCGCGTGTTGGGCCGGGGGCCGCTGGGGGTCTCCCGCTGCAGACAGGGGGGGAAACGCCCTACCCAGGCCACGCCCCCTCCACTGCCCAGAAGGCGCCACGCCCAGCAGCGACCCACACAGGCTGGAGAAGGGGCCAGGGCCGCCCCAGCCCAGGGTCCCCAAATTAGCACCAGGAGGAAGGAGGGCCCAGTGGGGGTGGCAGCTCAGGGCAAGAAGAGGTTCACGTGGCCCCGCCTTGTGCGGGGGCGGCTCACTGACCCTCGCCCGCCGGCATCCAGGAGACAGCGCAGGGGTCACAGGCCCCTCCCAAGGGGGACATGTCCCCGGGGCTCCCCCTTCCAGGCGCCATCGTCACTGGCCGCGCCCACAGAGAGCACAGAGGGAGGGTACATCGGGCTGGTCTCTGACTGGGACGCCTCGACAAGGCTCAGCCTCACCCCACCTGCCCGGGATCTGCACGCCAGTGCTTTGACTGGGGAACCGTATTCCCAGGGGCTGAGCGGGGACAGAGCGGGCCCCCAGGACCCCTCGGCTCCCCCGTCCCTCTCTGGCGGGATGTCCCCTCAGGGACCTCATTGGAGGTGGCAGGAAGGCACAGGCAGGAGGCCCAGAGGGGGGCGGGCCCCACCGCCGGGAGCCGTGGGCGAGAAGCCCATCTGCGCAGCTGCCGCGTTATGGGGCTGGGGTCCTGGTCTCAGGCCAGGAGGGGCTGTCCGTGTCTGTCTCCTACCAGGCGCGGGCGCACGGCTCGTGTGGTGGTTTAGGGTGTGTCGGGGGAGTGACGGGTGGGGGACCCCTGTCCCTCTCTTTCCAGTGAAAGGAAACTCAGAAGAAGAAGTGACAACACGGCGGGTCCCGGGCCCCTGGTCGCGGGTGGAGGGTGGGCAGGCGCCAGGGCCAGGCTGTGGGTGTCTGTGGTGTGGAGGGCGGGGCCGGGGGCTGGGGGCCGGCTCACATAATGGAGCAGCATTTACAGCGCTGCTTCTTCATGTCGAGGTCCTGGGTGTCGCCGGCGGGGGCCTCGGGCCCCACCTGATTCTCTTCCCTGGAGCCCGGCGTGGCGGCGGGCTCGGCCGCGCTGCCGTTGGGCGGGGCGGCCTCCTTGGGCTCGTCCTCGATGACCACCAGCTCCGCCGTGATGGTGTCCTGCAGCCCCAGCACCTTCTGGGTCTCCGCCTCGTCCTCCACGTTCTGGTAGCCCATGAAGATCATGGTGACCGGGGGCTCCTGGCCGGGCTGAACGCCCGGCGGGCCCGACGTGGCCTCCCCTGGCTGGGCCTGCACCCCAGTGATCTCCCGCCGGGCGGGCGTGGCGTTCCGCACGGCCTCCTGGGACGCCCCCCGCGTCTCCGCGGCCGCGGCCACCGGCCCTGCCTCGCTCAGCGTGACCTCGTCTGCCTTGTGGATGAGTTCGTCCACCTCGGAGGAGCTAAGTGGCTGGATCCCATTCACCGCTGTGCCGTCCACGGCGTGGACCACTGGTGGGTGAGAGAGAGAGAGAGAGAGGGTGAGACCCTAGGGAAAGGCCTGGCAGGTCCGCCCGCCGCCCTCCAGTCTAAAGAGAAAAGCTGAACTAAACCGGGCGGACGGTCCAGGCCCCCTGACTGAGATCTGGGGACACAGCCAAATGGGTGCCCGAGGAGTATTTACGGGCGCAAGAGCACTCCTTACAAAGAGAGAGAGTTTGCTGAAGCCGGATGTCATTGTCTTATTGTCTTGCATTTTGGAGCATTTGCACTTTACAAAGTAGTTCTGTTTTTTTTTTTTTCGCTATCGAAAAGATAGTGAACATCAAAGTTCAGAAAGGAAGTCATTAGCCCAAGGCCACGTAGCCGGCCGGGGCTGGACCCTCTCTGCTCCCAGTCCACACCCGTTCCCCTAACCTGGGGAGCTGCGGGGATCCTGAGTTCTCCCTTCCTTGGGTTTCTGTGGTTCACCTTGAATTAATATAATTCATTCGCTCAGTCTTTCCTGTTTTCGCATAAACGACCCAAAGGCTAGTCCCTCTCCTCTCCGTTCAGCTTTGGCCGCAGCCCATGGATTGGGTTAACTTGTTGTCTTTCAAGTGTAAAATGTCTCCGGATTTGCGTTTTGATCGATTGCCTCTCTCAGCCAAGATTTATTTAGAATGTTTCGGGAGAGTGAGGGATTGTGGTCTGGGAACACAGAGCGACAGTTCTTCCAGCCACTGCTGCAGCTCAGAACACGGTCACGTTCCGAAGAGGCTCTACCTGCGTTTCACAGGGACGTGCATTCTCCGCGGGGCAGAGTTTTACGCTTACGATCGATCGATCTTGTTCGTTTTTCCCCCAACCCCCCCGCAGCCAGTCTCGTTAAACGCATTTTCCAAATCTCTGCAACTTTCCTGCTCTGTGTCTTTGTTCTGCCGCTTTCAGAGCTGTGTTGCAGTCTCTGAGGACAGGGTTTCAGCACCAGGCAGAGTCCTGGCTGCCTTCTGACACCAGCCCCAGGCCATGCATAGCCGGAAACTCCTAGAAGCACAGCTGCCCGGAGGCTGGGGAGGAGGGAGGGCCCCATGAAGGAACTAACGAACGCCCAAGGACTCAAGGACTCGCCTCCTCCCAGGCCAAGGGTCAAGGCTCCGGTTCCTGGCTTCTGGCCAGAAGGAAAGTGCTCTCAATTTTCAGTTTCTAACCCCCCGGGGAGATTGGGGGGGGTCCATGCTTCACAGTTTCCCAGTGACTCTGGGCTCCAGGCCCAGTGGGCAGGTGCACCCTGGTGACACAGAGTCAAGTTGAGTATTCCCCACTGGCTACGGCCCCAAAATAGGAATCCGAGCGCTCGGTCACCACGGAAATGGGTCACCCCCTCCCATCGCTAAGCAACCAGAGTGCAGTCTGGCGGGTCCGGACTCCCTGGGGGCTGGGTCAGGCTGGACGGAGTGGCCGCGGCGAGGATCTTTTGCGAACAGAGGCAGCTCGTCATCCCTCAGCTCACCCGGGCCTGTGCCCCAAACCACACAGAGCTGACCTGCAGCGGGGGTCCCCATAATGGCACTCGGGATGCCCCAAAGGCCCAAACAACCGCTAAGAATGCGAGGCTTCAGGAATCAAAACCACGGGAGATGCCACTTCACACCCAATAGGATGGCTACAGTGATCACTGTAATACGATGGACAGGACCAGGTGCTGCCAAGGACAAGAACAAACTGGAACCCTTCTGTGGCCGCTGCCCATGGGGGGGCAGCACGAGGAAAGCAGACGGTCCCAGAGTCCCCACCTGACCCAGCCATCCCACCCATAGGTCTCAGCCCCGAGAAACGCAAACTCCCGCCCACGCGAACTTCTAAAACCATAGGTGGGAACAATCTAGACGTCCATGGACACGTGGCTGGATAAGCAGTGCGGCCCGTGCACACAGTGGACTGCCACTTGGCCACAAAATACGAATGAGGACAGATCTTGGACACGCGATGCTCGGTGAGAGACGCCGGACACACAGGTCACACGGCGTGGGATTCCACGTATGCAGCACGTCCAGGACAGGGACGTCCACAGAGAGGACGTGGGTGAGCGGGTGTCAGGGGCGCCCAGAGTGAGGGTGTAGGACGAGGTGAGTACCCCCAAACCCACTGGACTGTGCACTGAGCACTCCGCAGACCGTCTGTCGAGGGCAGTGTATGCCGACCAGTCCCGGGGCCCGAGCCGAGCGGACCGGCCTGTGAACCGTGTTCGGTGAACACACACAACAAAGGCTGCCTTGGCTTTGAACCTGCTTTCCAATGGCTTCTCCCCTGCAGGGGGTCTGTCTGCATGCACAGCATCTCAGTGAATCTGGCGTGGAACGTCCCCACCCCTGGGCCCCTTGTGTTCCCCGCACAGGTCATGCCAAAAGTGAACCGAAGATCAAACGCCGAGGTTTATGAAGCCGCTCTGTAAATACTGACGAACTGCATAGTTTAAATAAGAGTAAATGTGATGGTGTGTGAATCATACTGAGAGAAAGAGAGAGAGAGACAGAGAGAGGGAGAGGGAGGGAGGGAGAAAAAGTGCGCCCAGCTCTGGGCTTCTGTCCCAGGGCCCCCCGCCCCTTGCATTTAGGGCTCTCCACAGCCCGTTCCCCTCTGGCCGCCAGAGGGAGCCCTAAAACCCACATCGCATCTCCTCGCCACGCCCCTGCTCACCCTTGGGAGGCTCTTTTCGTCCCCTCCCTCTACTCAGCGTCAGCCCCACAGGCTCCTCTTGGCTCCCCCAGTCCAGCAAACTGGACCCCACCTCAGGGACTTTGCACGTGCTGCGGCCTCTGCCAGGCGCCCTGCGCCCCTGAGCCCCGCCTTGCATGCGGTGAGCTCCTGCTCTCTCCCGCCGAGGGGCCCCCGGCACCCTCCCCGTCCTGCGAGGCCCACTCACGGCCCATCTACTCTGGGATTTCGCAGCCTCTATCACAGCAGTAATTATTCCCATGAGTTATCCATGAGCCGGGGATCAAAGGGCTGGGCTTGCTGGCCGAGTCCCAACCGGGATTCGATTCCCGGAGCCCAGGCCGGCACCTGGCCCTCGGCCAGGCCAGCCTTCGAGGCCGGTCCCTGGGGCAAAGGAAGGCCTGGCCTGCGGGTCGAGCTAAGCGACAGTGGGCGGAGGGCGACGAAACCCTCGCCTTGATTCACCCGGGCAAGGCGGGTGGGGGGTCAGCCCGGCCCTGGGAGGGGGTGCGGGTGGGCTGGGGGTCGCGTACCTTTGGTCTCGTCCTCGTAGACCTTGATGCCCCGGGGGAGCAGCTCCCGGGGGAGCGAAGTGGTGCTGGAGAGCACCCGGGTCTCCCCGGTCACCTTGTCCTTCTCCACCGTGATCTCGACCGAGTACATGGCTGGCAGAGAGGCACGGGTTACCCGCGGCCGCCGCCCACGTGCCCCCCGCGGGGCTGCAGCAAGCCAGGGAGGGGAGCCGGCAGCGCAGAGCCAAGCAGCGGGTCGCCCTCGGTGTGGCCCTCCCCGGGCTCCCCAGTGCCCTGGCAACAGTCTGGATCCCTCCGCCCCACCCGAGGCCCCCTCCCAAGCGCCTCAAACTGAACGAGTGTGCAGGGTGGCCTGCCTCGCCCACGGTCGCGGCCACAGCAGCAGGCCAGCCCGGCCTGGACCCTGCGTCCTCTGTCCTTCGCACCTCTTAACGTCCGTCTGTGCAACTTGTCCTCAGCTACTTCTGCAGGAAGAATGGCTAACGCCCTCTCGAAACAAGGCACTATCGTTACCCGTTAGGGCCACAGTTTCCGCCCCCAGCCTCTCGCCCAGCTCTGTAGGATCCGGAGCCACGCGGGGGAGGCTGAGTCCTAGTGCTGACCCTCGGCCTCACGCTGAATTCCCGCATCACACCACCTCCGCCACCCTCCCCGTGGGGTTCCACGGGAACCCCCAAATCACCACGCCCAAGAGCCCCTTCCTATCTGTCCCCTGCTCCTGCCGCTCCTGAGTCTCCCCACCCCAGTCGGGGCAGCTCTGTTCTCCCTCCTCTCTCTCACCCCCTGCTCTGACTGTCTGCAGATCCTGGGGGTTCTACCCTCCCACACTGGACCCGCCCACTTCTCACGCCCTCTGCAGCCCACAGCCCTCCTCCCCAAAGCCACCAGAGGGCGCCTGTGAGCACCTGAGTCAGGTTTGACTCTGGGACCCCATAGCGCGTCCTCCCGTGGCTACCAGAGGGCGCCAGTGAGCACCTGAGTCCGCGGTCCTGCTCTGCTCACCATCGTCCACCGCTCCCACGTCCCTCGGGGTAAAAGCCCAAGTCCTCCCGCGCCCACGGGACCCCGCACGACCCGCCCTGTCCCTGCACTGCCCTCACCTCCCCCCTGCCCTCTCCCCCTCGCTCATTCCGCTCCCGCGCGGCTGTCCTTGCAGTTCCCACAGGCCAGGCAGCAGCCAGCCTCAGCGCCGCTGCAGCCGCGCCCTCTGCCTGGACCCCTTCTCCCCAGACGTCCTGCTCCCTCACTTCCGCTGGTTCTTTACTTAAATGTCACCTCCCAACTCTGGCCTGCCTGAGCCCTCTGATTAAAATCGTCCTCCCTGCAGCTCCCCACGCTCTGCCTTATTTTCTCCATACTCAGTAAGTTATAGGCGCTGACACCCCATCAGGATATCGGCCTCCCAGGCTGTGTCCCTCCTGCTTGGCACGCAGCAGAGGCTCAAGAAGCACTTGTTGAATGAATGAGTGTGTTGAACCCCATGTCCCTACACACCGTGACACCCCACCTCCAGACACACAGTTGGCTGGCCGTGCATTGCACGAGGTTGCTGGCCTCAGTGCTGGCTGGGACAAGGCCTGACTGCCACAGAAGCCCTGAAGGCACCCCCACCCCCGCCACGGGAAATGCTATCCTCTGCCTCCTGCCCCCTGGGACCATGCGGGAGGTCCCTGGGCCTCCCCTGCCATCCTGTCGCTTCCCCCGTGTCTTCGCATCCTGGCCAGCCCAGCCCTGAGAGTCCTCGCCGCCCACCTCGCTCCAATAGCAGCGGTAGCAGCGGCAAGCAGGTCCTGCCATCCCTTGTGACATCATCCCTCGGGCTTGGTTCCGTGCCAGGCCCCGGGCATGAGGTCACTGCGATTTCACCCCTCCTGCAGGTGGAGAATCGGGTGCTAGTCGCCGGAGGGCAGAGTAGGGACTTGAATCCGACCTCATAAACACTTAGGACGAACCCTGTCTCTCCCTGCTTCCCAAAAGCGCAGGACGCCCGAGGCACGGAATGCCTCCAGGGACCGGGCGCTCGCTCCCTCCACTGTGGCGCCTGGCGATGGTGGAGGAGGGGGCTTTGCAGCGGGCACGTGCAGGCGTGTTCCAGCGCGCGTGCTGCCCCCACAGGGCCCCAGGAGACAGCAGCGCGGTTAAGGGGACGGAAGCCGTGAGGATGTGACGGGTGAGAGCGACCATGCGAGCATGCCCGTCCTCTAGGCGAAGCTGGGCCGGCGAGTGACCAAGGCGCCAAAGCACAGGGGCACCCAGGCCCGACCCCAGGCGTGGAACCGTGCCTGGGTCCAGCCGCCACCCCAGAACCACAGTGCCTCCCGGTGGCGCAGTTGCATCTGACCTCTCCCTGGTCCCACCAGGCCCCCCAGGGCCAACACGCGGCCCGAGGTGGCAGCTGGACGTGGGGCCGAGGCCGGGGGCGGACCCACCTGCCTTCATCACGGTGGAGCCTTCGGCCATCCTCACGGGGGTGTTGGAGACCCGCTTCTCTGCTCAGTGGGCAAAGAGTGGAGAGAGGGGGTCCGATGAGAGAAATGCAGACCCCCTCAGACACTCCCCAGACACCCAGACACCCCCTCAGAAACCCAGACACCCCCTCAGACACCCAGACACCCCCTCAGACACTCACACTCCCCAGACACCCCCTCAGACCCCCACACACCACCTCAGAC